TTCATATTTTAGAGGTGAGTGTCTGTGGTGAAATGATGGATGTTTTGGATCTGAGATACAGACAGGGAGATAGATATATAGAGAGAAAGAGGGACTGAGGGGTGGGGGAAGAAAGAGTGAGGGGGTGAGGGTGTGGAGAAGAGACAACATTGGAAAGTGAGAGAACGGGGCGAAAAGGGATGGGAACAAAGTTCAAATAAGTTTGTTTTTTTCGAGAAGAGTTTCTAGAAAATGGTGGGGGAGGGGGCGGGGAAGAAAGAGGGTGGAAGTGAAACATAGAGAGAGAAAGATGGGGGGAAGAGGGAAGGGAGAAAGCGTGTCAGGTTGGAAATGTCGCAGTGGATGTACACCATAATATTACATGTATGTCATCTTATTTTCTATTTACAAGAGCATGTTGTTTTATCATTCATTTTGTAAATTTTCATCATATCTCAAGTGGACTGTCTTTGTTTGCAGATCTTCTGTAATGTTGGGGGTGAGGGGAGTATTACGTAGCTGGCGTTTATAATCCTTGCATTTATATTGGGATGAAGACAAGATTGGAGCCGTTTGTTATTTCCATAACGTGGCGCACTCAAATTTGTTTCGTAATCTGTAGGAGCAATCTGGTGGTTCATCTAAATATTGATGGATATACGAGGTATAATCAAAATGTTTTCCCCTAACTATGATGGGGCATGGCAATGATTCCGATCAAATTACACTGATTGAAGATGCACTTAAGCCAGGGCGGTAAGCGAGAATTTGGGAAGTTCGTATTTGTAGTTTTTCTAGGCGTGAACTCCAGATTGCACCATCTCTGAAATGATTGACTTTGCATCAGCAAACAGTTATGTCTAGCAAATAATATAAACTGAAGATGGACAGACTTGAAATTAGGTCTTCTGGGGAGCAATCCAAATCAGATTTTGAGAGGCTGTTTGACAATTATGGTGAAGTATGCACTTCAAAAGGAAGGTGTCAAGATGACATCAATGTGCAGACAGGTACATCCAGGACACGGAAGACAGCTGAAAAGAAAGAAAGAAAGAAAGAAAGAAAGAAAGAAAGAAGAAAAAAAGAAAGAAAGGAAGAAAGGAAGAAAGGAAGAAAGAAAAAAAGAAAGATGCACATCGTTATATGATGTAATAAAATAAGAAGTACAAAAGTTCACAAGGTCAGGACGCCCTGTGACCGACATCACAGAAAAAAATGTAAGGAGGCCGACAACCCTGGTTTTACAAGAAAGGTTATTTTTTTAACACGACAAAAGTTTCAGCCCGATGAGTTCCACGACATCTCACAAAGCAGCAAAAGCAAAGGATACAGCTAAAGTATATAGTATAAAATGTTACGGCACCTAGTGTATTCCGTGTATCTGGTCATTTCTTACTTGTTTCTTGCTCGAAGTCTAAATAAACATCTCAAAGGGACACGTTTTGTTTCTGAAACTGAAGACATAGAAGGCGTAGATTACTGGTTTTATCAACAAAATAGGGGGCTTTTATCTTCAAGGACTTTCCACGGTCACTCAAAATTGGGAAATTTTGTTCTTGTCATTGGTTACAATGAGGAAAAAGAAGACACTGCTATGATAAAAATAAGTCTATGGTTTCATTCCTTCTGGTCTCGGGGAAAAGTTTTCGTCATCCCTCGTGTAATTTAAAAATCACAAAATCACAAACTAAAAAATGAAATAATGTTAGTGCAGGTGTATATAGTATTCAAGGAGTGAGAAAAAGAGTGGGGAAAAGAGAGACAGAGAGACAAAGACAGAGAGACAAAGACAGAGAGAGAGAGACAGAAGTAGACAGTAAGAAAGAGACAGAAAGAGAGGTAGAAATAATAGCGAGAGAAGCAGACAGAAAGACAGACAGACACACAAACACACAAACACGCTGACAGATAAATAGATAAACAGAGATGGAGAGAGTGAAACAGAAAGAGAAAAAGAGAGAGAGAGAGGAAGAAAGGGGGAGCAAGAGGGAGAGAGAGAGAGAGAGAGAGAGAGAGAGAGAGAGAGAGAGAAAGAGAGAGAGAGAGAGAATGGTTAAATGGTGAAATAATTTGTGTTTAACGCCTCTGTCAACACTATTAGGTTAGTCGAGAGGCTGGACCTCCGAGTTTGACGTCCATCCCTGAAAGGACCAAGCCGAATGAGAATGTTGTGTTAAGTGCCGTTCCCATGGACACAACATCGGACCGAGCTGTCAAACCCCCGAACCCGTAACCTCAAGATTATGAGTCCAGTAGAGAGAGAGAGA